CTTCAATGTGGTTTGTTTAGATTTCCCTGCCCTGTAATAGATGGCTCTTTGGATGTATAACTAAGAATTCAAAATAAGCAAAATAAATTGATGCAAATTGAATGTATTGAAATATTAATAAACAAATAAAATAGATAAATAAAAGTTTAAAAAATATATATATAAAATATATGTATTTAAGTATGTATATATATTCAATCATGACTTAAATATGGCAAAACATAGCACCATTATGGGAGCTGCAATGCCGTTAAATTATGAATAAAAAAAAAAAAAAAAAAAAAAGTATTACAGTTTCCATCCTTTCATTGTCGTGGTACGAAAAATGCATTTCGTGCCACGAAATTTATTTTTTAGTGAAAGGGCGAAAAAAAAAACAACCCAACCGCACTGATGAATAAATAATAAACTAATGCTATGGGTGCGTCGTATAAAATATAAATAATAGTAAAATATAATAAAATAATAAAACAGTAAAATATGTAGTAATAATATATAGATGTACTTGATATAAACAAACAGACGTTGTAAGAGTGAGAGCCGACGAACGTTTTCTAGCACGTGACTGTAAAGCTCTCTACGAGGTAAGCTCTCTCGTTTCTCGTATATAACAGCCGTCGTTCATTCACACGCGATAACTATCTGCACGCATCGTGAGTTCGTCATATTATTTTCTAGCAATCGAAGGTTAATAATGTCTGGAAGAGGAAAAGGTGGTAAGGGTTTGGGTAAAGGTGGAGCCAAGCGTCACCGCAAAGTTCTCAGAGACAACATCCAGGGCATCACAAAGCCCGCAATCCGCCGTCTGGCAAGAAGAGGAGGGGTCAAACGCATATCAGGTCTGATATACGAGGAGACCAGGGGCGTTCTCAAGGTATTCCTCGAAAACGTCATCAGGGACGCCGTCACCTACACCGAACACGCAAAGAGAAAAACCGTGACGGCCATGGACGTCGTGTACGCTCTCAAGAGACAGGGACGTACCCTCTACGGCTTCGGCGGTTAAAGACCCACGCATAGTTGTAAGTGCGTAAACAACGGTCCTTTTCAGGGCCACCCAATATCACGACGTCTAGCCTTAGCCTGTCGACGGCTTCCACACCGAACAAATCTATAACCGGCCATAAATTTATTATTATTGTTATTGATTCGGTTCAACGTCTATTTTTTTCAGGCGAAACGAAAAGATTTTATCTATAATTATTTGATTTCTTTTTATGTAATTATCTTACAATTATATAAGATTTCGTATATCCCGTTTTGCTCATTTAAAATCATCGCACGCCCGCGTATAAAAGAACATCTGAATCTCGTTTATTTATTTATTTTGAAAACTTGTTTCATCAAAACAAGCAAAATTAATAAGAACAAAGAAATTAGGTAAAAGTCGGGAGGTAGGCAGGCCACGTGCGAGCGGCCATCGTTTACATCCATGAAAACAAAAATAGCCCTAAAACGACGCCAACACATTAAATAAATCCTTGTTCATTGTATAATTCGAAAAGTATATGTGAAAGTATACCTGGTTAAACTACGAAACAATCAATTAATTAATTATTAAATAATAACGAATCGCCAATACAATCTTTGCGAAAAAAAGTTTGAAATATCTTACACATTATATTAAACGTTCATTTTAGCTTTATTTATTTAGTGAGTTTCTTCACAATCTCTGAAATCACACTACTATAACAAAAAGAAGCAATAGAGAATTTAAAGTTTATGTCGAAAATGGGAATATATTAAATGAGTTTACGAGACGGTTAATTTAGGACCGGAAAAAGTTACAAGTGCACGACCGTAAATGATCACGTGTGCGAACGAAAATGAAGCTCTCCGTTAGGTAGGCATTTAAATATCGGTATAAAGGCTAGATGTTTCATGTTCGCTCGTACCGTCTCAGTTTACTCTCCGTCCGTCGTCCCGTGCGAATTGAACATTCACTAAAGCAAAATGTCTGCGAGCGTCGAATCTAACGCCGATGTAGGTGATGAGCAGAAGACAGCCGCTTCCAAGAGATCAACCGCCGGTGGCAAGAAAAAGTCGGCCGTCGCAGCCGCAGGCACAAAAAAAGTCGTCGAGCATCCGTCCTACAACGAAATGATTCGCCAGGCTCTCGTCGCCCTCAAAGAGCGCGGCGGATCGTCCAGGCAGGCCATACTCAAGTACCTCATGGCAAACTTCAGGGTCGGAAGCGACGAACACGCCGTCAACACTCGCCTCAAAGTAGCCCTGAGGAGTGGCGTCAAGTCGGAAATGCTAAAACAGTCTAAAGGATCTGGAGCATCGGGCAGTTTTCGCCTCGGTGCTGCCAAAGATACCAACAAAAATGTCGCCAAACCGAAAAAAGACGTTGCCGCCAAGAAAACCAGAACGGCTGCCTCGCCCGATAAAGTTAAAAAAGTGGCGGCGCCCGAAGCCAAAAACAAACGTCAGAAAGTCGTGGCGAAAAAGGCGGCTCCAGCTAAAAAGACAACCGCATCTAGCAACACAAAGAAGCCAGTCGAAAAGACTTCTAGTCTCAAGAAAGCCGTAAAGAAACCGCCTGCTGCCTCCAAAAAGATCGCTTCTCCAAAGAAACCGGCTACAATAGTTAAAAAACAGCAAGTCAAGGAATCTAAAAAACCAAAGTCGGCTACCACCAAAAAACAGACAAAGCCTACCGCCGCTGCCAACGTAAAGAAGACTAGCGCCAACAAAAAAACCCTCTGATAACGAGAACAAAATTTAAAAAAATCATTTAAGAAACGGCTCTTTTCAGAGCCATCAACAAAACGATGACATCTAGCCTCACTTTCAAATCCCTTTCGTCGTTTGTTTGTGCACAGTCGAATTTTTCATTCTCTTCGTTTGCACAAAACGCGAGCGTCCGACCTTAATTGAGACCGTTATTGAGTAAAGCCACTATTGTAAATGTTTGCTACAAATTTCTATCAGTTATGTAAGTAGGTAGATAAGAGCAGTTTGCATGGACTGCATTTAATTACTAATAACTATCCCAAAGTAATGAGAAACTGCTGATTGAAGTACTAAAAAAATTTCGAAAGAACGCACATCAGAAAACTGGAACGGCATTTGGAAAATAAGTGGCAAGAGGTACGATTGAACGAACGAAAATAAAAAGAAACGTCAGAAAAAAAAGTAATTGTAAAATGAATGCTTGAAAAATTGACCTTAGAAAGATTAACGAACGAACGAACGAATGAACGAACGAACGAACGAATGAATGAATGAATGAATGAATGAATGAATGAACTAACAAATACGTAAATAAATAAACAAACAAACAAAAAATAATTTATAACCTCTTGCAATTGTAGATTATATTAAAAGTTTCAAAACTCACGTTAATACTGTTTGCAACATTATTACGTTTACGTGATTGGACGTGAAAAAAGTCACGTGATCGGAGCGCTCTCTACTAGGTCGGCTCATCTCGTGTCTGTATAAATTGTTGTCTACAGTGCGCTCCCCCTATTCTCTATCAAGTTTTTGCTTCGTGTCTTATTTTCTGCTCTTTCGTTCAGGCAAGTTCTAGACAATATGGCAAGAACCAA